TGCCTTTATCACCCCCTCATTTTAGGTAGCCGATGTCTAAGTTGCTCATCCCTATCTACCCTGTGTACAGAGGGGACAGCATTGATACTTGATGTGAAGACTCCTTCCCTCTCTGTTGGTATTTTGAGCTACTGCCTGTCTGAGTATAGGTCAGGCTCATCAAATTGTAGCAATTTACCCTTGTTTCCTTTATCCAAAAAAAAAAAAATTGTTGGTTTTTTTTTTGTAATCTTCCTCTAGTCGAGTTCTAATTATCGAGCCATCGAGGCTAGATCAAAAGGTATGCAAGTTTGGATGTTCTTGTGCATCTCCCCTCACTTCATATCAGCTGGATGCTTCACTCTCAGCTCTAGCCCTCTGTGGCTATGTCCTTGTCCATGGGCTCAGGTGTCCCCAGGTCTTACCACACTTTGGACCAACCAGTCCTTCCTTTTCTCTCTCTCATCTCCAGGTTAATAGAGTCTGTGGAACATGGCTGAACTCAGCCTATTTCTTCACTGCTGTCTTTCCCCATCTTCTACTCACCAGTAGACCAATGTGGTCGCCAGCAAGGTTACATGCCTATTTGTGTGTTCCCTTTGAGTTTCAGTCTTAGAGGGGGGTTGTTGGTGTCTTTTAAAGTTATATAATAATCCTTGTTCATCTCATAACAATTTTGCTTTAAAATCTATTTTGTCACCATCCCTAATTTTTGGTGATTATTACTTATAAGGAATATTTTTTCCATCCTTTCACTTTTAGTTTATTTGTATCTCTGAGTCTAAGATGTGTTACTTTTAGGCAGCATGTAGGTAGATCATATATATTTTTTAATCCATTCTATCACTTTCTGCCTTTTGACTAGAACACTTAGTCCATTGATACTGAATGTAGTTACTAATAAGAAATTATTTATACCATCTTGTTTGTTTTTTGAGAGTTGTGTCTTCTGTGCCTTTTAAAAATTTACCTCTTAGGCTATCATTTGGATTTTGTTGCCTTTTAGTAGTGAGCCAATTTGGTCCACATTCTATTTTGCATATATATATATATATATATTTAAGATAATTTCTTCATTACCATGAACATTACCATTAATATTATTCTTTTATAACAACCTGGGATAAATTTTCAATAAAATTCACCAACCTTATAACTCTCCCATTGTATTGTTGAAATCTCAGTTGTGTCATCATAGAACTTGTGACCTGCAACATAAATATATGCTTATTTTTTAACATATACCCATTCCTTACTTACCAACATGGTTAGACTCCAAAGATCAGCTCAAATGTGAAAATTGGTGTTAAGAAAAACTTCAGGACCAAATGTTCCTCAGACTCCAGGAGTTTTGGAGGTGACCCTGTGGGGTTGTTACCTCCCCTTGTGCTTGTCTCTGTGCCGTGACTTCACACTTAAAGCAAGTGGGTCTGTTTGTGCCATTTCAAACCAGAGACCAAGCTGATTGAGTAGGATTTGCAGTCAGTAGAGGACCCTCCCTTCTCTGACCCATGTGGAGTTTTTCCTCTCCACACAAATGCCCACCCACATGGGACTGCCAACTGCTGGCCTCCGCATCCTCAAAAATTCAAGTGGTGCATCTCAGGGTCTTCAGTGTCCTTCTGTGCCCTTCTGCCACCTTCTCACAAGCTCACGGCCCAAAGCTGCAGCTCTCCCCAGACGGTGGGGCACCCACCACCAGCCTGTGGGCCTGGCTGGAATTCAGTAAGGCTGTGAAACATGTGTACAAGTTAATTACCTTAGGCCCTGACATACAATCTTTTTCTTTCTTTCTTTCTTTAACCCTTTTAACTCTATTTGCATTCAAGACTGAGGAGAGGGTGGGATGGGAGAGATGAAGGACTTTAGGCTCAGAAGGGAGCATCTCTCATTCAAAACACATGGGACCTTACCTGGCTATAAGGTGACTTAAGTATATTTTCCAGTATTGTCCTAAATGTGAAATGTCAGATAACAAGATAGTTGATAAATGAGGAGTAGGTAGTTGTCTTTATAAAGAAGGACTGCCAGAATTTTCCCAGTTATCCAGTAAAATATACCATAAAAACTTTACCCTTATTTTTCCCTAAGGAATTTCCTTTACTGAAGATTTTTGTACACGTGTGTTCATGTTTCTTTCGCATATCTTTTTATTCCTGTCAAAAGAATTCCTTTTAGTATTTCTTTTAGGGGTGGTTTTGTGGAAATGTATTCTTGCAGTTTTTGTTTGTGAATTTCTTAGTTACCCCATTGTTCTTGAAGGATAACTTTGCTGGATACAATATTCTTGGTTAACAGTGCCTTTATTTCAGCACTGGCCTTTAAAATTTCTGAGGAGAAATTAGTGCTTAATCTTATTGGAGCTCATACCATTGCTAGTCTCTTGCCATTTTCAATATCTTCTTGTTGTCTTTGATATTTGAGAGCCTGATTATGATATGTCTTGGCATATGTTTCTTTGGATTCATCCTACTTGGAGTTGGTTGAGCTTCTAGTTTTATTTCCTTTATCAGACTTGGAAATTTTTATGCTATTATTTATTCCAAGATTTTTTTCTAATCCTTTCTCTCTCTTTCCTCTTGTGTCTATAATTCCTATGATATGAAGGTTGGTTCACTTGCTGTTTTCCCAGAGCTCCATTAAACTGTGTTCAGTGTTATTGAATCTTTTCATTTGTTGCTCTTTAGCCTATGTGATTTCAGTTATTTTATCTTCTAGCTCATTGATTCTGTCTGCCACCTGTTCAACTGCTATTTAAACCTTCCATTGAGTTTTTCCTTAACAGTTATTGTCTCATTCAATCTTATTATTTGTTTGTTTTCTTTTTATAGTTTCTTTTTCAAAAACAAGTTTATTTACTTAAGAGTTTAAATACATAACATGATAACTAAAAAGGGAAAAAAAATGTTACTTCACATGGCATTGGGCAGCTCTTGGTAGTAAGTTGCAATATCTACAGCTACCTAGGTATATGACTGATACATCAATTTTAAATTTATTCCCTTGTCAGAATTTTTTACTCTGATAGAAGGTTGGCCTTATATCCCGCTTCTCTGGACATTCCAAGGTCAATAAGAACAATGATCTTGGTGTCAAGCCAGATGTGGCACTGTGGGTTAATGCACTGGAATTCAGCATGAGTTTGAATCACAAGGTTGGCGGCTCACGTTCACCAGCCGCTCCTCGGAAACCCTATACAGGGTTGCTATGGATCTGAACCAACTCCACTTAGAAACTTAGAAACAACAACAAAGTCCTGGTGTAGTGCTGTAGTATAAATACTGACCTGCCAACCACAAAGTCAGCAATTCAAATCCACCAGCTGCTTCTCAGAAATCCTATACAGGGTCGCTATGAGTCAGAACCTACTCTCAGTACTTAACAATAATATCTCGGTTTATAATTGTGCTTTGTTCATTGTTTTCCTCATTTCCTGTAGTTCTTTGTGTTTTAATTCAGTGAGTTTGTTGGAGTCCTGGTGTGGTGCTGCAGGTTAATGCGCTGGACTGCAAGGTCAGCTTGAACCATAAGGTCGGAGGTTCAAACTCACCAGCTGCTCCTTGGAAACCCTATATAGGGTGGCTATGAGTCAGAACCGACTTGATGACACTAAACAACAAATAGATAAAATGTGTCTCCTTATCTCTTTTTCATTGTGTGAGCCATCATTTCCATTTTCTTCATATTTATGGGGATGTTGGGTTTTATTGACTATGAGTCATTAATTTTTGCTTGCTGCTGACTATCTCAGTCTTCCCCAATAATTATCACAACAGCACTGGTTATTAGAGGAAATGCCAGGGCGCATTCTTAACTTCCAGTTAAGTGGAATCAGTATTGTGTCTCCAGGTGAGAATATTCCTCCCTTTCTTTGTAACTAAAATGTCCTGGGTCACAAGGACAGTGCGCAGAGTCTTTGGGCCTTATTTCTTGTTTTGTTTTGTTTTGACTTTTTATTGTGAACTGGGTGAAGGTTTAAAGAGCAGATCATCAGTTTTTCTATTCAACAAATCATACACACTTTGTTTCATCTCACTGATTGCAATTCTCTCCATGTAACATCGCTTATCTCACCTTGTGTTTCTTGTTTCTGTTTCTCTGTCTTCCCAAACGATTCTGACTTTTGTCCTTGGGTAAGTGTTGCACTTTTAATCTTGAATGATTAACCATTCTGTAGTGGGCATACCTCACTAGTATTGTTAGACCCTTGTAGCTTGGCTGAAAATTGAGCCATGAGAGTGAGTCCAGTTCCAGATTTGAAGGTGACTAAGGGTCCTATCAGTCTCTATCTGACCAGCAAGCTTGATCTTTTTTTATGATTTTAAGTTTTGTTCACATTTTCTCCCACTCTATCTAGGACCTTCTAATGCGATCCCTTTCAGGGCAGTGGTAGCCAGGCACCATCTAGTTTTCTGGTCTTAGGGTCATGGACACTGATATTCTCATGGTTTATTAATCCATTGGACTGATTGTTTCCATGTGTCTTCAGTTTTAATCACTCTTCTTTCCTCTGGACACATGAGTGATTCATGTCAAATGGTTGTTCACGAGCTTTTAAGACCACATTTGCTATTCACCAATGTAGGATGTGAATATGAATAGCAATGGAACATTGTCAGATACAGTACCAGAAGATGAATCCCTCACGTTGGAAGGCGCTCAAAATACAAGTGGGGAAGAACTTCCTCTTCAAAGTACAGTCGACAATAATGACGTGAATGGCGTTTACCCTAATGATATGAATAGAGCAAAGCTTTCCGGAGCTTCATTTGCTGATGTGGCATAACTCAAAATGCAGAGAAACAGCTACAAACATCCATTAATACCTGGAACATGGAATGTACAGAGTATGAATCTAGGAAAATTGGAAGTTGTGAAAAATGAAATGGAGGGTGCGTGGGTGGCGGCGGCGTGTGCGTGAGGCGTAGACTGTTGTGCTCCCGGCTCTCCTCTTTCCCCTCTTGGTTGGGTGGAGGAGGCTGAAGCGATGCTGGGCTGCTCCCCACTCCCTCTCCCTCAAGAGACCTCTCCCCGGCCCTCTTGCGCTGCACGGTCTCTCAGACGCAGGACTGTCCCAGCCTGGATCTGGCTCGTGGGCAACAGAAAATTCAGTTTCAGCAGAAAAATGCCAAAAAGCAAGCTGGACGAAAGAAGAAACAAGGACATGACCAAAAGGCTGTTACCAAAGCTGCTTTAATATACACCTGCATTGTTTGTAGGACACAAATGTCAGATCCTAAGACCTTTAAGCAGCACTGTGAAAGCAAACATCCCAAGACTCCACTTCTTCCAGAATTGGCTGATGTTCAAGCATAAAGTTCTTTACAGGTGAATTCATGACACCTTTGACTCTTCTGTCTCAGACCTTAGGTAACAAACCTGCAGCTGCTTTTCTAATGAACTGTTGATCAGCAAAAATAAAGGGGCTACAGAAACACTCATTTTTATGCTGTTCCCTTTTGGGATTCATGCAAAGACAATTCTGTGTAAAATGTACAGTTGACTCTGATTTGGACATCTGAAAATCAGTCCATCCTTGTTATAAAAATATTTTTACAACTGTACTTATATTGATGTTAATATTGTGTAAAATAACTCATTTAATAAAGTAGTACTTTGATTTTACAACAACAACAAAAATGAAATGGAATGCATAATAATTGATATCTTAGCCATTAGTGAGCTGAAATGGACTGGTATTGCCATTTTGAATCAGACAATCACATGGTTTACTATGGCAGGAACGACAGATTCAAGAGGAATGGCATCGCATTCATCATCAAAAAGAACATTTCAAGATCCATCTTGAAGTACAATGCTGCCTGTGATAGGATAATATCCATACACCTACAAGGAATCCTTGAGAGGTGCTGCAGGGTAAGGCACTGGACCACAAGGTTGGTTTGAACTGAAAGGTCAATGGTTCAAATCCACCAGCCACTCCTCAGAAATCCTACACAGGGTTGCTATGACACTGCACTGGAGGTGCTCACTCATCTTTATCAAGAAATTTGGAAGACAGCTACCTGGCCAACCGATTAGAATGTGCCCATTCCAAAGACAGGTGACCCAGAAGTTCAAGCGGAATTCAGAAGAGGATGTAGAACTAGAGATATCATTGCTGATGTCAGGGATCTTGACTGAAAGTAGAAAATACCAGAAAGATGTTTACTTGCGCATTACTGACTATGCAAAGGGTTTTAACTGTGTGTATCATGACAAACTATGGATAACATTGTGAAGAATGGGTATTCAGGAACATTTCATAGTGCTAATGAGGAACCTATACATAGAACAAGAGGCAGTTGTTTGAACAGAACAAGGGGATAGCGAATGGTTCAAAATCAGGAAAAGTGTACATCAGGGTTGTATCCTTTCCCCATGCTTGATCAATCTGTATGCTGAGCAAATAATCTGAGAAACTGGATTATATGAAGAAGAACGTGGCATCAGGATTAGAGGAAGATTTATTAACAACCTGTGATATGCAGATGATACAAATTCGAGGATTTCTGTTTTCTTTACATTGATATGCAATCCATTCTGAAGGCTGTAATCTCTGATCTTTATCAGTAAATGTTTCAGGTCTTTTTCATTTCCTGTAAGCATGGTTGTGTCATCTGTGTATCACAGGTTGTTAATGAGTCTCCCTCCAATCCTGATGTCTTGTTCTTCATATAATCCAATTTCTCAGATTATTTGCTCATCATACAGATTGATTAAGTGAGGTGAAATGATCAACTTTTCCCTTTGAGAATATACACAGAAAAATATATACAAATTCAACAATTTTTACATGTACAAATTAGTGACATTGATTATATTCTTCAAGTTGTGAAACCATTTTTATCCTCCTTCTCTGTGTTGTTCTGTCCCATTAACATAAATTCATTGTCACCTTTTAAGTGTTATTTGAGTTTTGAGAACGAAAGGAAGTCTGAAGGGTCAAGATCAGGGCTTTAGGATAAGATAGCTTAAGATTTAGCAGCAAAATTCTCACAAGACAGCCCTTGCTACCCACTAGAGAATGAGCAGGTGCATTTTTGTGATAGAAAAAAAATCATTTATGCAATTTTCCTTGCTTTTTTGTCACCAATGTACCTTTTAATTTTTCTCGAAACTTCTTCTCAGTAAGCCTTCATGATAGTTCTGGCAGAGGGATCCCAACAGAAGTGCCCACCTGGGAAATGCTCTTTGTCTCTGTGGGCCAAAGACCTCCTCTCCCACAGACAGACATCAGGTGATATGTCAGTTGCAGCAGGAAGGAGAAATATGGCTGAACATTTCCCAAATTTGGCTAAATAAATAAATCTACAGGTACAAGAAGCTCAGCAAGCCCAAACAAGGTAAATCCAAAGAGATCCATACCCAGACATATCACCGAACTATCATCAAGCTGTTTCCAACTCATGGCAGCTCTGTAAGAGAGAATACAACTACCCTGTTGGGTTTCCTAGGCTGTACATCCTTATGAAAACAGACTGCCACATCTTTTTTCCCACATAGTGAACTGCCAGCCTTTCTATTAGCAGCTGAGTGGTTCTGACTCACAGAAACCCTTTGCACAAACACTGCCCATCCTCACAATCCTTGCCGTGTTTAAGCCCATTTTTGTAGCCACTGAGTCAGTCCATCTCAGTGATGGTCTTCCTCTTTTTCACTGACCCTCTGCTTTGCCAATCATGATGTTCCTCTCCAAGGACTGATCACTCTTGATAACATATCCAAAGTACCTGAGATAGAATCTTTTTCTTTTTTTAAGAAAAAAAACATAAACACTTTTTATTAACAAACAAACCCCCACCCCAAATCCAAACCCCCTGCCATGGAGTTGAGTTCTGACTCATAGCCACCATGTAGGACAGAGTAGAACTGGTCCATAGGATTTCCAAGGTTGTAATCTTTATGGAAGCTGACTGCCACTGCCATATCTTTCTTCCATGGAGCAGTTGGTGGGTTCAAACGTATAAACTATTGGTAAGCATCCAAGCACTTAACCACTGTGCCACCAGAGCCCCTTACTGTTTTTATTTTATTTATTTATTTGGAGAACATCAGCTTTACACTCATCCTATCATATTTCATATCCTTACAATGACTACAATCTCCCCTCTGTGCATCATCATTCAACAGCATTTGCTTCCATTCCCTCTGTTGTTTTTTTGTTTGGGATGTACACTGAAGCACTCAGGAATATATAATCATTCAAACAACCAAAGGGCATACCCTGCAAGCCTGCCCCCCTCCCCAGCCGCCAGCACACAGACTCTCTCCTTCCCTGAGTCTAGAGTCCCTAGCCACTCGATCTCTCCACATCATCATCTCTGCCTCCACTGAAATGGAATCTTAAAAATTCTCACTTCTAGAAAACATTTTGGCTGTAGTTCACCCTAGACAGATTTGTTCATTCTACTGGAAATCCATGGAATATTTAATATTCTCCACCAACACCATTTTTCAAAGGCACCAGTTCTTTTTCAGGCTTTCTTATTTGTTGGCCAGCTTTGCATGCATATGAGGTGATTGGGTCAGGTGCACCTTAGTCCTCAAACTGACATCTTTTCTCTTTAATACTTTAAAAAGTCTTTTGCAGCAGATTTGCTCAGTGCAAATTGATTTCTTGCCTGTTGGATGAGTCAAGATGAGTGCTGATTGTGATGGATGAGTGTTGACTATGGACCAAGTAAAATGAAATCCTTGACAACGTCAGTATTTTCGCCATTTATCTGATGTTGCTTATTGGTCTAGTTGTGAGAATTTTTGTTTTCTTTATGTTGAAGTATGATCCATACTGAAGGTTGTGGTCTTTGATCTTCATCAGTATTTAAAGTCCTCTTCACTCTTCCCTTTTAGCACCCTGTATATCACAGGTTCCAATCTTGATGCCATATCCTTTGTTTCATCCAGCTTCTCAGATTATTTCCTTACCATACAGATTGAACAAGTGTGGTTACAACCTTAACATACATGTTTCCTGATTTTAAACCACACAGAATCTCTTTGTTCTGTCTGTGTACAGGTTCCTCATGAGCACAAATAAGTGTTCTGGTACACCCATTTTTTGCAATGTTATCCGCAGCTTGTCATGATCCACATAGTGGAAAGCCTCTGCATAGTCAATAAAGCACAGGTTTTCTGTGCTTTCAGCTAATACCCATCTGGTGTCAGCATTGATGTTCTCATTTCATATACTCATCTAATTCCGACTTGAACCTTGGGAGGTTCCCTGTTGATGTACTGCTGCAACTGTTTTTTTAATTCTCTTCAGCAAAATTTTACTTGCATGTGACATTGATGATATTGTTCAATGATTTCAGCATTCCGTTGGGTCACCTATCTTTTGAATGGGCATAAATATTTGTATCTTCTAATCAGTTGACCCGGTAGTTGTCTTCCAAATTTCTTGGCAAAGATGAGTGAGCACCTCCAGTGTTGCATCACTTTGTGGAAAGATTTCTATTTGTATTCTATCAATTCTTGAAGCCTTTAGTGCAGATTGGCTTCTTCCTTCGGTACCATCAGTTCTTGGCCATATGCTATCTCCTGAAATGGTGGAAAGTTTTAATCTATCTGTTTTGGTGCAGTGACTCTGTATTCCTTGCATCTTCTTTTTATGTTTCTTGTGTCATTCAACATTTAGTCCATAAACTCCTTGCGTATTTCAACTTGAGGTATGAATTTTTTTTCTTCAGTTCTTTCAGCTTGAGAAATGCTGAGCTTGTTCTTCCCTTTTGCTTGGAATTCTAACTCCAATTCTTTGCATATTCCTTATAATACTTTATTTTGTCTTACTGAGCCACCCTTTTAATTCTGTTCAGATCTTTTACATCATCATTTCTTCCATCTGCTTTAACTACTCTACATGCAAGAGACAGTTTCAAAGTCTCTTCTGGTATCCTTTTTTTTTACGTGATAGATATATTTACAACAACGGGGAGAGAGGGGTTAAGGAAGTAGCTGTAGCTGCTGAGGCTGCTTATGTACAGCCAAACACCTCAAGGAATTTGGCTCTTTGAGTTAGAGGTTTAGGGTCATGGTTTCATGGGACATCCAGGTAAGTTGGCCTAAAAATATGTTTAAGGCTTCTGTTTTATCTTCTAGTTCACTGTGTGATGCCTGGAGTCTGAAAAGCTTACAATTTGATATTCAAAGCACAGTAATTGTTCTTTATTCACCTTTTCAACATCAGCTTTTGTAACATTTATGTCAGCATCCATTTTCTCAAAGTACTGCTGTGCTCGGTCAGCTTCTTTGCAATCCCGCTCAAATCGTCTTTTACTTGATTCAGGTTGCTTCCAGCAAGTCTCTATGTGTTG